CTCATTTGTTTTTGTTTTCAAAACAAAATTGACTGTGGTATAAGAAGTGGACTACTCTATGAGGGGAAATATAGAGAGCCAGAGTGGAAGAATTTTCAGTGGATTTTCAAAGTGGTGTGGGGCTTAGATGTATTCTTAGACTGTAAGCAAAGAAACAAGCATATTGGGAAACTATTATGTTTATCATTTATAAACACATAAATATATATAAATTTCATATGCATTAATAGTCATAAATATATGTATTCATTTATCACTAAACCAAATGAAACAGATACTTAGTTCCATTTTTCTTATATGAAAACTGAAAAGTCACATGACTTTCATGAAATTTGGTAAATCAGATTTCCAAACATTCAGCAAAAATAAATGCCAAATCCAGGAGTCAAGGCTAAATCTATATTTCCCCCAAAAGATCTAGATTTTTCTATTCTGGTATGGCATTTCCAGGACAGAAATAAAATATCTTAAAATTTTTATTGTAAATGAAAAAGCATTCTAAAAGTATACATAATTCATTTAGCAGCATTGACATTTAGTTTGCTTCTATACTTTAGTTCCCATAACTATGGTAAACATCTGGCCTTGTTTCTGATTAGTTGAATTCCTAGATTTGTAGAATCATTGGGAAATACCAGCATCTTCTAAAGCTCTGTATATATAATATCAATTTATTTTCCAGAAGGTTTGTGCCATTTACACTGTCACTCATCCCAAAGTAAATAGTTTCTAATCTTTCCCAATTTGACAACCAAAGTATTAATTTAATCATTTAATTCACATTTCCTTCCATTATTAATGAGGTTAATATAGCATTTTTAACATAGTTTTTAGTCTTTTTATTTTTTCTTTTGTGAATTATCTGTTCATTTAATTTCCATTTCCCTACATAGAGTTAATATTTTTTCTGGTGATTTGGAAGAGCTTCTTGCATAGGAAGAATATTAAATCTATCTTTGTTGATTTTTGTAATTATTTCCAGAATGTCTTTTACATTCAGTTTTTAATTTTTTTCTTTTTTTTTTTTTTTTTTTGTGGTTCTAGGGTTTGAACTTAGGGCCTCATGCTTGCTAGTCACACTGCCAGCCCCAGTTTTTGACTTTTATTGTAAAAATATCATACATAAAAGAGAGTATGCTCCAGTTATCTTTGCAGTATAACAAAAAGCATCAGTACTTACATATTAGGACAGAAAGTGTGGCTCAAGTGGTAGAACATTTGCCTGACAGGTGCAAGGCCCTGAGCTCCAACCCCAGTATTGCAAAAAAAAAAATTTTTTTTAACTTACCTGTTTAAAACAGAAAACAGTTTATCTCCTACCTTAATGGGTCAAGAATTCAGGTAGGTCTGGTAGCTTTTTCTGCTCCATACCTTACTCACCTGACAAACTGGCTGATCTTTAGAGTCCAAAATGGTTTTTACTCACATGTTTAGTACCCTGCCGTAGGTAGAAGGAAGACTGAGCTTTGCTGACATTGTAAGCTGGACCACATGTATATGGCTTTTCCTGCATGGTCATCTTAAAATAGACGTCTTATTTAGAGGCCCAGGGCGTTAAAGACAGCATCCTAGCAAACAGGACAGCAGCTTCATGATGTTTTATGGCCCAGCCTCAAGTTACATTCTGCCTCGTCCACTGTGGTCAAAGCACTCATAAGGCTCTAGATTTAATGGGAAGGAACAAAGGTAAAAGTCAAGACTTTGGGGCCATGTACAATTTAATTTGTTTTTGGTGATTTTTATATGCAACTGTTTTTAAGGAGTCGTTTAATTATATTTATCTTTTTTCTTTGTGTTTTCTTTCATTGCTTTGCAATTCGAGGAGGGTGGGATACTACCTCACGCATGCGAGGCAGGCACTCTACCACTTGAGCCACTCCACTAGCCCTGTTTTGTGTTGGATATTTTCAAGATAACTTCTCTCAACTTATTTGCCTGGGCTGGCTGCATACTGAGATCCTCCTGATCTCTGCCTCCAGCGTATCTAGGCTTATAGGCATGATCCACCAGTGCCCAGCTTCAACTCATTTTTAAGAATCATTTTCAAAGTGTCTATCTACAAAAATCAAGGGCATTATCAGTTAATATATTTAGAAAAATCACTTTATGTTCTTTGGATACTTTTAAGTACTAGTTATTATGGTTGCATTCATTTAATATAGCTCTTAATTCTTTTCATCCTTAAGTTTCCATCAAGGACACCTCTAAAAATTCATCTAATAAAAGCATTTTGGACTATGCATTTAATTATGCAGTTGCTTTGTGGAGAAAGAAAGGAATCTGACTAAATAGTACTTTGCCACATTTCTGGCTTAGTCTTTCAAACTGAAATACTGAGGGTTGCAGATTACCTGTAAGCCCTTCCAGTCTTGCAGTGGTGCTTGAACATTGAATCATTTGATTCATTTCATAAATTGTGATTGAAGCACACTTTCTTTTTTTTATTATTGTGCTGGGTAGGGGTACATTGTGGCATTTGCAAAGATCCTAACAGTGTATCAAATATATTACAAATGGCAAAGTAAAAGATAAAGTGTCATTACATTAACAATAACAAGAAAAGACTTTTAATTAATAATTTTTAAAAGATATTCTTCTGACTCATAGAGAAGAAAGAACCCCTTTTAAGTATATACAATAAACACTCAAAAATGTTAAGTGATGATGCTAATCTCATGGTCTAAAAATGGCAACCATAGCTTCTTCAGTTATCGTCCATGCTGCCAATATTGCATTTCAAAAACACATCTACCTGTATATGGACCTGTAAAAGTGGTTCAGAGGGAAGTAAACTGAATTAGATTTACAATATGCACATAATAACAGCCATTAGGATTTCTATTTATCCTGTGTGTCTTTCTCCTCCTCTGTTTTCACCACAGCCAAAAAGAAACAATGAATTTTGGAAGAAGAAAACATTGGGGAAAAGATTATTGTCTAATACAATTAGTCACCTGGCTAATACAGGGCAGAGACTGTATTCAGTTTCTTTTCAATAGTCTGTCTCCAAGCTAAGTACTGTGCCTTGCACCTCTCCCAAGAGACACAAAAAGTATTTATCAGCCTGTTCCTGACATCAGATCAGACTTGGGCCATTTCTTTTTCATGGAGGCAACTGCATTTGTGAAGTATCTTCTTCTTACAAATCTGTTACCTTCCACTCTTCTGCAACGTGTCATTCCACACATGCACTGGACAGGAAAAGACAGCTTTTCAGTCTACTTGCTGTCATTGAATTTTATTGCTAGAGATAATTTGAGATCTTGTAACTTTCCAGAGACAGAATATTCTCAGATTACCTATAGTTAACTTAAACCTTATTTATTTCTGAATATCCAAAACTTGAAGCAAAGTTCTGCTACATCCACCCTTTGTGTCTGAACAAACATTGTGCCGGCTCTAGAGCAAATACACGTGTCAGAGGCTTGGCCTTGTACTTTGGGGACACTGCTGTTCTATGAACATTCAGTAGCTAGAAGACATTCATTCTGTGTTAAGTACCAAAAAAGAGAACTCTAGAACCACACACTCCAAGGTCATAGCCTCTAGTCACAGGTGGGTCAATTAACTCAAATTAATTAAAACAAAGAAAGTAAAAATTTTGTTCCTCAATCATACTAGGCACACTTGAAGAGCTCAACAGCCACACACAATCAGTGGTTGGCACATTGAACAGTACAACAATGGAATATTTGCATTATTACAAAAAGTTTTATTGAGCAATACTACTCTATAACATACTATTTATGTCACATTGCAAAAACACTAAATTTAACACCCAATTCTACACTGATTTCCTAATTAACAAACTCTGGCTTCCAAATCTTTTTGTTATCAAACATAGATATTTCCTAAACAAGTCTCTGTGAAACACATCAAAACAAAAATAGATTATCTATTACTCCAAAACCAGACTTAAATTTCTGGAAATCAGTTTAAGTGGAAATAAATCCCATATGATTTGTAAGAAGTGTAGATGACAGAGGACTTATAAATTATATTCAACAAGTTAAATTGTATCAAAAGCTCAAAAATCTAAAAATGTTGCCAAATAAAAACCCTGTCAGACTTCTTGATAAATAACTAAGAAAAATTTCTAACTCAAACACTTTTTGTATAAATTTGTGGAAAATAGATTGTTCAAAAAGCTCAAAAGTTCATAAATAAACCTAACTTTTCTCCCTAAAATTTGCTTCCTGTATAGAAAATGCCCAAATCCTTTCTAAATTATCTCAAATACATATTAATGGGAATTGAATTATTGAAAATATAGCACATAATATAACCATGGAAAACTATAATGATATACACTGCATTGTCCATTTGGCCAAAAACTGTATACAATATATGTTACTACAACAAGTACTTAAAAAGAGGAAAATGATTATTTTAGCTCAAGGTTTTAGGGGTTTTAATCCTTGGTTCCTTGATACCCTTGCTTTGGGCCTATGGCAGGACAGAACATCATGTGGAAGTAAGCAGTGAAGGCCTGTTCACCTCATAGCAGCCAGGAAACAAAAGAGACAGTGAAAGAGCTAGGGTCCCAATATTTTCTTCAAGGGCATTTCTCTAATGACCTAACTTCCTTCCACAAGGCTCCATCCCTTAAAGGGTGTACCATCTCCCAGTAGCACCACAGGCTAGCAACCAAACCTAAAGATTTTTATGGGCCTTGGGGAACATTCCAGATCCAAACTAACACCAATACCAATAATACCAACTAAGCAAATACTAATATTTGTGTGAAAATAACAAATGCATACTTAATTGTAAAGAAAGAAAACATCATTCATTCTCTCCTAATCAACATACAAAGATCTCTATTATATCCCAAATTTTTCCTTAATTTTGCTAAATAATCATGTTTTATTAAAGTGCGCATTTAAACATTCCTATTATATAATTTCTCCTATGGTTCTAAAACAAAACACTTTGAAAGTAATTCTGCTTTTTACTGTCTTTCCAATTAAGTAGAGGTATGTGCTTCTTTCCCACTGCAGAAGCTGTTCTGGAAGTAAAGCAACATCCCGTGAAGAGACAGAAACCAACCTCAAAAGTACCACAGGAAGATACAAGCAAGGACACTGGTCCTCAATTCCATAAGCCAGCCAAGTTTAAATGTAAGTGTGAGGAGAAATGGAAGGTAGGGGCCCTGCCATGAGGTGAAGCAGCCAGTGCTGTCTGGGAGCACATTGGTGATTAGCAGGCAAGTTCCCAGTCTGCCTGCAAGTCCAATCATCCTATCTCCTATCCTATCTACACTGCTGCAAAAGGCTTGAGACCATCCCTCAATTTTAATTTAAAATTTAAATTAAAAATTTAAATTAAATTAAATTAAAATTTAAATTTAAAAATTTAAAATTAAATTTTAATTTAAAAAATTAAATTTTACTATTAAATATTAAATAATATTTAATAGTAAAATTCAGTGTTATCCTAGTTGATTTTTAAGTCCAGGCATGTGGAAATACAGTCTTAAAATAATCATTTCCATAGGACCTGACTAGGTATCCAAGTGTTCACCAGATGCTAACAGCTAGATTTTTGCTGAGGAAAATTTCTAACTTAAGCTTCCTTTCATGATTCAGCAGAGGATTTTAAGTAATAAAAGATCTGGAGATTTGTAAAATAAATAAATTTATTGTAAAATAAATAATTCCAGTACAAATGAGAAAATTAAAATAATCTTATCATCCCCTAGACATGTCTATATGTGTTTCTCTACCATTATTATATTTCTCTTAATTGAGCCCATTTTTTCCAGGTGATATTTTATAGTTTTAAGTTATGAGCTGTAATGAAGAAATGATTCCTTTCAGATGACTGAAGTGATATGTACTAAATTTTCCTAAATACAATCTAGGATGTATGAAACAGACTATGATATAAAAATATGGTTTTATTCCCATGTGATGTTAAATGTATTCAGAGCAAAAAATAATCACAGCATGCTAGAATCTTTTATTCTCTAATTGATGTCTTAGTAAAATCAATAAAAACATAAAGGGCATCGTTAACTTTTGAACTTCAATGGAAAAAAAGCTCACAACATACTATGCATTTCTTACCAGTAGACATTATCTCATAGTATCCACAGCCGTCCTATACTTATTACTATTGCCTGGTCTAAGTGTGACTTTTGGACACATAGCTCAGTATTTCCTAATATATAATAACATGATGGCTTTTATAGTGCATTTAATTTTATTTCATAATTGAAAGAGTGAATTGTTACAATTACTCAGATTTTTGTGTTCTTGCTGAGGCGTACCTGAACAAAAAGACAAGAATAGCGTCTAGTTCTATAGTAAATGCTACATAACTACACCACCACATCCTATCCAGAATGAATCCACTCAGACTTCCTGGAGAAATGCAAATATGTTAATGGTTTTACTAAGGTATTATACTTTTAATATAGGTACCACTAATTATTTTGGCTAGATTCCATCAATAAAATATTTATAATGCAAAACCACTGAATGAAAATACATGCTTATGTAAGCAGCAGGTTATAGGACTCAAGCCGATCCAGGACTTTGAAGAAGAGAGTGAAAAAAGCCATGACCAAGGGTTACATTCATAATGTCAGGGTAAGGCTCTGAACTTAATTCAGAGAAATTTTGTAGATGTTGTAACCAAGGATAGCTTCTGGATTTCTTGTAACAAAATGTTGCTGCCACGGCCATTGATGGGCTCACCCAGTAAAAAATTACAATAATAATGTTAAATTAAATCATAAAAATGCAGAAGGTGGTTATTACAGGGCAAAACAGAGGAATTGCATATAAAGTTATGGTGGAAATATAAAAAATACATTTTATTGGGCCTTTAAAAAATTAAGCTCTTTATTTTTAAACTAAAGTGCAAAAGCAATAAAATGTAAAGTTTACTCAATAAAGTCATTCAATAGTCAACCTTAATGATTCAGCAAGTGAAAATAAAAATTACATTCATTCAACATTGTCACCAATTCAGGCAGGCCTGAAGCTTAGTTTTCTAATGAAAATCACCAGCTGAAAATTTATTTTAAAGAATCTTGATTGAAAAAAAGAATTAGGAACTTTTTGAGCCTATGCCTCTTTTTCTGCTAAAATGAACATGGCTTAACTTAATTTCATATAGTATAAAACTCTAAGTATTGTATGTAGTTCTTAAGTTCTATGAAGTTAATCAGATGCAAAGGAGAAAAATGATCAAAATGTAAATTTGAATACCATGACAGACATCAATTAGGAAATAGAAGCAGATCATGATAACTAATACCCTGCGTGTCCTCTAAAAGTACAGAATGTAAATATTTAAATTACTTTTGAATAATCTGGAATTTCCTGTTTTTCATCTAATGAGGATCTTATTATGAATTTTAATGAAAATCAAAATAATAAAAAAAAGTAAAGAAAATTAAAGGGGATTACAAAGGTCCCGTTGTTACATAGAAAATGAGGCATTGTTGACACTGCTGTGTGCTGAATTTGGGTTTCTTTTTTTTTTTTTAAGGTGTACAGGTAATTTTTTTTCTTTCTCCTTTTATTTTATCATTTTTACATTTACTTACATGTGTATAAATTGTACCACCTCTCCCACACCCCCACTTCCAGGCAGAACCTCTTTCACCCTCTTCTCCGATTTTGATGAATAGAAAACATAAGCGATAATAAGAAAGACATAGCTATTCTAACAGGGGTGAGGTGGAATCTTAGTGTGGTTTTAATTTGCATTTCCTTTATTGCTAGAGATGGTGAGCATTTTTTCATGTGTTTTCTGGCCATTTGAATTTCTTCTTTTGAGAAAGTTCTGTTTAGTTCACATGCCCATTTCTTTATTGGTTCATTAGTTTTGGGAGAATTTAGTTTTTTAAGTTCCCTGTATATTCTGGTTATCAGTCCTTTGTCTGATGTATAATTGGCAAATATTTTCTCCCACTCTGTGGGTGTTCTCTTCAGTTTAGAGACCATTTCTTTTGATGAACAGAAGCTTTTTAGTTTTATGAGGTCCCATTTATCTATGCTATCTCTTAGTTGCTGTGCTGCTGGGGGTTTCATTGAGAAAGTTCTTACCTATACCTACTAACTCCCAGAGTATTTCCTACTCTTTCTTGTATCAACTTAAGAGTTTGGGGTCTGATATTAAGATCCTTGATCCATTTTGAGTTAATCTTGGTATAGGGTGATATACATAGCCATCATCAGCAACACCACCAACAACAGGTGTTGGCGAGGATGCGGGGAAAAAGGAACCCTCTTACACTGTTGGTGGGAATGTAGACTAGTACAACCACTCTGGAAAAAAATTTGGAGGCTACTTAAAAAGCTGGACATCGATCTACCATTTGATCCAGCAATACCACTCTTGGGGATATACCCAAAAGACTGTTACTCCAGAGGCACCTGCACATCCATGTTTATTGCGGCACTATTCACAATAGCCAAGTTATGGAAACAGCCAAGATGCCCCAGCACTGACGAATGGATTAAGAAAATGTGGTATCTATACACAATGGAATTTTATGCAGCCATGAAGAAGAACGAAATGTTATCATTCGCTGGTAAATGGATGGAATTGGAGAACATCATTCTGAGTGAGGTTAGCCTGGCTCAAAAGACCAAAATTCGTATGTTCTCCCTCATATGTGGACATTAGATCAAGGGCAAACACAACAAGGGGATTGGACTATGAGCACATGATAAAGCGAGAGCACACAAGGGAGGGGTGAGGATAGGTAAGACACCTAAAAAACTAGCTAGCATTTGTTGCCCTTAATGCAGAGAAACTAAAGCAGATACCTTAAAGCAACTGAGGCCAATAGGAGAAGGGGACCAGGAACTAGAGAAAAGGTTAGATCAAAAAGAATTAACCTAGAAGGTAACACCCACGCACAGGAAATCAATGTGAGTCAATGCCCTGTATAGCTATCCTTATCTCAACCAGCAAAACCCCTTGTTCCTTCCTATTATTGCTGATACTCTCTCTACAACAAAATTAGAGATAAGGGCAAAATAGTTTCTGCTGGGTATTGAGGGGGGGGGGGAGCGGAGGGGTGGAGTGGGTGGTAAGGGAGGGGTGGGGGCAGGGGGAGAAATGAACCAAGCCTTGTATGCACATATGAATAATAAAAGAAAAATGAAAAAAAAAAAAAGATAATGTGTATACAAACCATGATGAGCACTCAATAAAAGGAAACTATTAAAACAAAAAAAAAAAAAAAAAAGAAAGAAAGACATAGCATTTTTTGCTAGTTTGGGATAAAGAAAGCTAGACAGAGAGATTCCCAGTGTTGCTTCCATGCACTTGTGTATTGCAACCCACATTGGTTCATTTCTACCAGACCTCTTCACTACTTTTTGGTCCCCTTTCCATAGTGGCCCTTGCTAATTTAAGATTACTTTATTTGCTCCTCAACAGTGAGCACATCACTCATGTTCAAGTTTTAGGCTTCTTTCCTTTCTCTATTTCTCCCATGTGTGTTCTCCCCTTTGTGTGTGACCTATGTCCAATAATATTACTGCATTTGTTTTAGGTCTATAATCCACATATGAGGGAGAACATGTGATTTTTGGCCTTCTGAGCCTGGCTAACTTTGTTTAAGATGATGTTCTCTAGTTCCATCCATTTTCTTGCGAATGATAAAATTTCATTCTTCTTTGTGCCTGAGTAAAACCGCATTTTCTTGATCTACTCATCAGTTGTGGGGCATCTTGGCTGTTTCCATAGCTTGGCTATTGTAAATAGTGCTGCAATAAACATGGATGTGCAGGTGCTTTTGTTATATCTTGAGTCTCATTCCTTTGGGTATATCCCTAGGAGTGGTATTGCTAGATCATGTGGCAAATCTATGTTTAGTTTTTGAAGGAGCCTCCATATTGTTTTCCAAAGTGGTTGTACTAGCTTACATTCCCACCAGCAGTATATGAGGGTTCCTTTTTTGCCCCTCATCCTTGCCAGCATTTGTTGGTACCAGTGTTCTTGATCATAGTTTTATGGCCAAGGATGGTGAGCATTTTTTCGTGTGGTTTTTTTTTTTTTTTGGTCATTTGGATTTCTTCCTTAGAAAGAGTTCTGTTTAGTTCAGTTGCCCATTTCTTTACTGGTTCATTGATTTTGGAGGAGTTTAGTTTTT